TTTTTCAAGACTAAAAATATTCACTTTACGTATTTACTAGCGCCTTATAAGGTCGACGTCAACGCTATTAAATTGAAATCAAAGTTATATTATGCATATGTGGCGTATGGTTTGCGAATTGTAAATGGAGCCAGTTTTCTAACTCAGAAAGAATCGAGTACCGGTACTTTTCAATTTGGCGTCGAAGCCACTTGAAGATCTGTCTTGGCGTGGATTAATAAAACGGGTATTTCATCTTCAACATCTTTATTGCCCATGTGGAAAAAGGGACTTCCCTTCTCATGAGGCTTGAAAGAAACCACCCCGAACATACGGAAGATTGCTGAAGTTTACCCCCTCTTATTTTGAAACGAGCGCGGTGACCCCCATTTTTATTTCATTTATTTCTGAACTTCACTTGTATCGATCTTTGTTTATGCAAGGTTTCAAAACTTTTCTCTAAGTCCCGAACTACCTTAAATTATATGCATTAATACATACAGTAATTAGACTATTATATATTACTTACGCGCATATAACGAGACGAGATTATACAAACAATGACATGTGTCAAGAACTACAAAAGTAGTTAAAATTTTCGACCGCCATAGCGAACAAAACAAAACGAGGTCTGAATTGCCCTTATTCATAATGACGTCACATCAAAACAATCTATTGTTTAAACGCAAAGAATCATGGTTGCGGGAGGGGGACAAAACAGCAACAACACAAAAGAAATTGAGATAAAATTCGTTTTATAGACCAAAGAAAAGCGGTGACAGCCATCAAGTGCAATAAATATTGCTTATTAAACATTAGTGCATCTCATATTTGAGTCCCAGGCCATTTGAGTTCAAACTTTTCTTACCAGAGCGAGTTTTAAACGAATTACTATTGTTCTAGACAATTCTGTCCCCCTCATAGACAAGCCCTGACGTCATCATGAAGAAGAGCACTTAAAAACAATAAACGGAATATTTATTGGACGCTAAAACAATTGACAGTGAAATGAAGAACTTTCCTAATTAAGCATTGTAATATGGCATTTGTAGCATAGATTTCGTAATTTCAAAAAAGTATCCATCCCACTCCCGCCCCCCACGGATGGATTTTTTCACACAGCCCTTTGGAAACAACTTTTACAGATTAGAGAGTTACTCTAAATCTCACCCTAAATGGATAATTTGGGAGGGGAAGCTCTTGATCTTTTGAGTTCCTGTTTGTAATTTTCATAATTAAAAAAAAAAAAAAATACAGCGACCGTCTAATACACGAACTACTTTTCATGTCATACACTTAAAGGCATAAATACGGGATTCGCGAAAGGAGAAGCCTTACGCCTCCTAAGACCAAATTCGTCACGCTCAACGTTTAACAAAAACGTACAGAGTTTCAAATATGCTTAAAGAATAAAGAATACCGAGAATAAGGTTTTGAGAAACATATCTTTGGAGTTATTTTATGCGGGAGAGAGACAATATACCTGAAAACGACAAAAATAGCGCGCACAAATGAAAATGTTACCTTTGGTAACACAATCTCATCCGGCTGTGCCAAGACCAAGAACATACAGATGGAGAAATGACACCTTAAAAGTAATCTTTATTATCACATCGCAAACAAAAGTCATTAAATAATATCCTTATAACAGCTAAGCTTTCAGGTTAGCAGATTTAAAAGCGCAAGCGAATGGCAGGACTCGCACAAGCCTATCAACACCTTTTAACCATCGACAACCTTCTGATTTCCGGTTATCCGGCGTGTTGCCGTGTGCATTGTAGACTGTTATTTATGGGCAAGTGACTCCTTTCGTTGCTCTAATTCATCTGTCCTTCATTCAGTGATCAAGTAAGTAGATTTACCATACAACACTCGCCATTAGTGAATTTCCTTTTACCTAGGAAAGTAGATTTACAACACAATTGAGTATACGATAGTAACGCTGTGTAACGCAACAATAGGCCTGCTCTTAGCCATAATCGGTCTCAAACACTATCACTTAAAAAGCGAGAAACACATGTACCGTTTGAGAGCGTTTGGTCAGAGCTGTTGAAGTAGAATCAAAGCGGCCATCCAAATCTTTTAAAGGCTCCAAACTACAACGTACATCAAACTTGACCTTCTCGAAAACCGGTCTTAAATTACTTACTGAAAAACAGTGACTGCGTTTGTCCTTGGGAACCGTAGAATACGGGACAAATACGTACAAAAAAATATTTTTGCAAATTCAAAATAAATCAAATTACATTTATCTATAGTGAAAGGAAAAATGAACGGCCTAACTTTTACGGAATGTTCAGTCAAAATCTGCCGATTTTTGCTGCTTTCACCGCCATATTGAAAATGAAGCTACCACAATGCAACGCAATCGGAGTGCGCACACCGCCTGCATCTTACCGAATCGACGTGACATTGTAAACTCTAGAAAACTATTCAGCAACAAAAATCGAAAATGGTTTTTCCATTCCGATAGATTATTCTCCCTATTGCCCCTGAAGAACCCACTTCGCAAACACACTAGTTTTGGAAAGAGTCTAGCAGCGTGGAGAAATTTAGCCGCGACTCAAATATTTCTCTTTCTGTTTCACTCATCTAAATGCAACGCATTTTTTTGTTTGGATTACGTATCTCCAAACAAAAAAAAAAAAAGGGAAAAGGATATCAGTGACACATTGCTTTCTTTTTTCTTTAAATGGATTAAGCCTGAAAATTTCCAATTCCGCATATCCAAGACTACTTGTGCAAGGGGATGCAAGTTATCCAAGCATGAAAGAATTTTATCATATTCCATCTTTGGCACTCTTCACCGCCACCATTTTCATCTGTCGCTTGCTCGTAAACCTACGTTCAGCTTCCCAAGAAGCTGTTATTTGGGAAGAATTTGACGTAGCTTGACTTATTTGGCTGTTTTTTTGTATTTTTTCCCAGTAAAACTTCAATTTAATCGAACCCTGTCGGAAATTAACGTATTTGTGTACATTATCGTTGAAAAGAAATGCTAGTCGCGTCTTTTACGACACCGTAAGCCCGCGCTGTACTTCGTGGAAGAGCGAAAAAAAAAGGAAATGTAGTTGGTAAACACACTTTTTGAACAGAAATGAAGTTCACTGAGAACTTAAACCCGAGAAAACTTCAAATATGTGACATTTATTGCCTAAAAAGCCATGTGCGAAGAAATACTAAATTCTGAATTTTTGGTCGTAATGGTGGCCGTTCAAAAAAGTTGACCTTGAACTTTCTTCGGAGAAGAGTACGTTTCCTTGCGATAAATAAGGACATTTGCTGTCAGATGCGATTGTTAACCGTGCGATGTACGACTATTAAGTCTAAAAGCCGGTCAAACACGATTATTAAGGAGTTCGTACGCGATTAATAGTCGTACTTACCACGATTATTAATCGTGATAGAAGACGCTTTCAGACTATTAATCGGAAGAGATGCCATTTGCGATTCATAGTCTTATTTAAAGGACTTTTAAGCCAAATAATCCTAAAATTTTCACTCCGGAAATTAATAAACACCTGTTCAAAGCTATCTGTACTTGCATTAGATATGATCTATGAAAGCAATGGTCGTCGAAATGCTCCAAACGCACACGCAAATCTTTTGGAAGAAACGTCCTTCCAATGGCATGAATCATGCACGTCAATAAATGTGGTATTTTGGCAGGGGATCCTGCTTGTTTTTTACCGTACTAATGCACTCGAACGCTTCGCTATTAGCCATTTTGCTAGGGAAAACCCCAGGATAACCCCAACTACGAAAGAACCGAGCAACCATTACACGTCATTAACCCAAAATGCCTTGCGCACCTAAAAAGATGGAGAACGCGGGTAGTTCGAACTTGCCGTGAAGGCCAGTTTTGAAGGCCGAAAAAAATTAACAAGGTTAGAGGTATGATTTTAAGTACCAAATATCTTGAGTTGATACATTTAGAGCCTTTTTAGCAGTATTTGCTTTAAAACTGCAGGTTCCCTTTCAAGTCACGAGAATAGGGGACATGATCACCAACTAAAGAAGCTCTTGATTGTTAGACGAAATCTCCATGTCAACACCTTAAAAAATATATAGAGAACAGTATGCATGGAAAATATGCATACTTACGTTAAGGCGTAAAGATTTATCTAACTAAAAAGGAAATTTAGACGAATGGCACCTTAAACTGAGGGGGATTTCCAAATAACCTTTTAGAGTTTAACTGTTAAAGAGATACGTTGGAGATAATAAAGACACATCACCTCCATTAAGCGTCTTCATAATTTTCTTGTATGATCCCATTTCTTCTGGGCCAACAAGAACGACACTCAGACCTTCCCTGCTCGCTCTAGCTGTCCGTCCACTGCAGTGAATGTAAAGCTGTTAACGGACACAGGGAAAGAATTTAGGAACGCAGGATAACATGAAATAGTTACGCAAAAGTTCATGCTTACATTGTGGTTACATCATTACACAGTAGTTCATTATTAAATGAGATACATCTGAGGACGATGAACAATAGCAAACTGCTCCTCACATATAAACTGCATTTGGAGAACAGAGTCAATTTTTTCCTAAATCAAAAATCATTAACTTAAATGAATTATGTTTTGATTTCGGTAGGTGAACCTCACACATTAATTCAAATTGGAAACAAAACAAAGATTTAGGAAATGAAGTTTTAGGAATAAGTAAATAAATGCATGGTCGGTTGAAGCAGCGTGACTTCCGAAGCCTTTTGTCAAGGTAGAGTTTCGCGGATAATGAAAGCACTGCCGCCAAAAAGCAATCGCTTTCGTTCCCGCCTGCCGCACAGGCTAACCACCGACACAAGCTAACCAACCGTACACACATACTTACACGTACTTACATCAGGGTCCTTCGGGACTTGATAGTGAATTACATGCTCAACAGCTGGTATGTCCAAACCTCTCGCGGCCACATCTGTAGCCAGAAGTAAGCCACTCGCACTTTTCTTAAATCTAACAGGCAAGAAAAAAAATCAGCTAAAATTTTATTTGCTGGTGTAAGTCCTATCTAGCTTTAAATATTCTCCGAGGGAGGAGAGGGGCGGGTTTTAATCAGTCAAGGCGATCCAGTTATAGTCTATAAATAAAGGAAATTCCATTGGTCGGTTAGTTCGTAAACTATACTCTCTGTATGTTTTGTAGTTCTCCTTCGATTTCACTTGGTACACCTCCATGGATCATGTTCCTAGACAGTGCGGTGTACGTGTCGATGCATTTGGCTCAAACCAACAATAAAAAGTAATAAAAATTGTATCCTGGATCTTGAAGTGTTTCTCTTCCTTGTCAGCTCAACTATTACAAACCTTCTCTTAAATTACACATGACGGTTCTACGGTTCCTCTCTTGTTGGTGACATCGATAATTTTACATCTGTTCTTCTGCTGCCCAACTTTGTCCATCGGTGACATTAAAAATGTAAAATGCAAAGAGTATAGCTGTTCACGGATGATGTTTAACTAGGATGTTAGATAACAAAGACAAAAGCAAAACAACACAATACAAGCTTCGACACACTTCATAAAGCAGCAAATTTTCGGGTTTTAAATGATGGATTATTTAAATCAATTCATTCCTTAAGTAATAGCTGATAAAATACGTTGCTGCTATCTCTAGCTTCTATTACTCTGAGTCAAATATGCCGTGATTTACCAAAGCCTTCTTCGCTTGTGATCTTCTTTTACTTTCCTTTCCTCTTAAACGACTTTGGAGGAGTTAAAGTTGCAGAGAATAGAAACTTCTGTAGATGTCTTCGCTTTGCAGTTCCCTCATCTTCATCATTATCACTGCGAAAAGGAAACATTAAAGTTAAACTTTGATAAAAAGAGAGTTATTTACCTCAGTTTACCGGTTGACAGTCATGAAAACCATTAATTTCAGAAAGAGAAGCCTGAAAGAAATTGAAGCTCCGATGGAAATTGAAGTCCATTGCCTCTTTCTTTGAATGAGCTCCAATATAGAAGATAATTCTTGAAAGTGGCCTTTCTCGACCATTCGGTCTGCCTCGTCAATCACAAGATATCTCAAGTGCTCCAAACGGCATGCTCTTAACCCTAAAATTAAACGCCGCCAGAAGATATCTTTAGAATCATCCATTTGATAGAAAGAGGCTACACTCCAATTTCACTGTTGGGTAAATGAAAAAGGAAAAAAACGCCCGGCACTGATGTTTACAGAGCAGTAGAAAATGCTTACAGCTGTACTTATCATTTTTTACGGCGTTTTACAAACGGAAAAACTTACACTGGAAAAACTTACATTGGAAATCCAAATTCATGCTGAAAACTACACAGGACAACCGATCTCATGAGAAACATACCTACATGTATAAGTGTGTGTTGACTGTTTCAGATCTCTAAAAGAAAGTGAATCAGTACAACTTATGATACATGAGGTACTTACCTCGGAAATCAAATCCCACAGTCTTCCCGGGGTGGCTACTATTATCTCAGGACACTTGTTTAAAAGCCTCTGCTGTTTTTGAGGTGCCATTCCTCCAACCACAGCAACAATCTTGAAAAAAAGGAATTGTTTACTGATTCAAATGATTTTGAGGTACTTTGTTTGGTGGGTATTTCTCTGATAAAAGATAAAGTTGAAACAGGACTAGAAGGGGTGGCAAGGGAGTGGAGGGTAGGGGTTAAATGGTACATCATAGGGGCTGGGATTGTAATTCTCTGAACAAAAGGGTTTTTTATATACTTTGCTGGTGAAGGTACCAAAAAACAATAGAGTTTATGTTTGAGGGAATAACAATGTTTTCAGCACTAACTCATCATTATTTAAATTGCTTTAAAGCCTATTGTGGCTACAAATTCATGTTTCCCCCAAAAAATTAAAAAATGCTTTCCAAACAAGAGATAGGTTTGCATTCTGCTCCACTGAAAAGAGGAGTATTGAAGGCTCAGGAGACAAAATTGACTTGGGCCAATAAAAATAAAGAAATAATTGAGTTTCTAACAATGGGAAAACAGAATCTAACTGTGGAGATGACTTCCAAATTGTCAATTTAAGTACATGATGTTACCTCTAAAGATGTGTGTTTTGCAGCCTGTTTAAGATGATTCTTTATTTGTATAACCAATTCTCTGGTTGGTGTCATTATCAACGCCAGGAGTGGTTTCTTGAGCTTGGATGTTCCATTACCAGTTTCTGTGGCTTCTGTAGCATTATTTTTGGTAGTATTTTCTGTAGTTTCACCTGCTTCTTGACTGGACTTGTGGCCAAGGATGTGGGTGAGAATTGGAATCCCAAAGGCTAGTGTTTTACCTGAACCCTAGTAAATACATAAAATTGTTTAATTAATACCCTTAAATAATAACCTCCTCAAAAACCAGCCATTCCTGGAAGCTAAACTTCTCCCAAGTGATTTTATCATAACTTCAACAGACAATTTCAAGGCATTATCCAACAAATGATATGAGAACTATGAAACTTACAACTTGAAGGGACTTATCTTGACAATCTTATTGTAATGCACATTTTTGTATAAATAATGTTCCATCAACCAACTAATATGTATATATAGGAAGATATAGAATGCCTACATATCTTCACAATAGTTGTGAAACCAAGTACACAAACAATACACATAAAAAAAGAGACCTCCACCAATCTAACTGCTCTGATTCAACTCACTGTTTCTGCTGCACCAATGATGTCCCTGTGGTGGAATATTGCAGGCAGAAGGGAGAGAGTCTGTAAAGGGGTTAGTGTAGTAAAACTTTGTTCACTGAGTCCTCTCTGAACTTCTTTGGGAACACCAAGGACTTCCCAAGCACTCATATCTGCCATGGGCTCTACAGTTTAGTTCATTCAAAATAAATGATTTAGCTATAAAATATGATTGCATCTTAAACTTATAGTGTTAGTGGGAAATATCATTTTATTACAGTTGAATGGAATGGGTTATTTGTACCTGTATAGATATGAAATATGTTTATAAAGGTTTTATAATCTAAATTAATAAATACTTTATTAATAAATAACAATACAGTAATAAAAAACTTATCAGTAAAATTACATTATTTATTACACCCATTTTAAAATCACTGGTGGTCCCTGTAATCTGATTGGCTCTAATTGATGCGATTTACTCACAAATCGCACCATTTTTGGCCTTAAATTGCATCTTTTTTCCAGCTAATGAGGAGGCTACACTTAAGACAAAACAACCAATCAGATTTCAAGGCTTGTTTAAAGTAACCGATCAAATTGCAGGAAATAAAAGACAAAGAGTATTGCATGGCAAATTTTGCAACTTTTGTTTCCAAAACTCTTACTTTTTCCCCCCAAAAAATGGATGAATTTAATTTCAGACCAGCTCATTGCTGCATCAATAAAATATTTGAACTTACCAAGTCCTGTATTTGGGTGATTTCAAAATGAAATGGATGTAATAAAGTGGTAATTGAACCTCGTGTCGTGCAATTTTGGTCTGAAATCATACTTGTGATTTCAAATCAAACTCACGCTGTGCACTCATTAGATTTTGAAATCACGCATATGATTTCAGCCCAAATTGCACTCCACTTAGTTCAATTCCCATTATTTATAGAAAATCATGTCTTTTCCAAGATAACATTATCTACACAAAATGTGTTTGATTCTCTTCTTGATAATAAAATTCAAGGACAATCATTGGAGTAAAATTGTACTTTGTTTTGTGCATTTCCCATCCATAATTCCTAAAATTAACTCTTACCTGGAGGATCTTCCACCAGTCTATTGTCAGTGACCATTTCTACTCTGTTTTGCTCTTCTGACTGGGCTTTACTTTGGGCCTTGTTTTTCTTTTCTTCTTCTTTTTTCCCTTTGTCTGTTGGTCATTCTTCATGCTTTTTCAAGTTGTGTGGATGGTGTGGTAACTGTTTGTTCCAGATTATCCTGAGGATTTAAATCAAAAGACAATACTATGTAGCTTTTTTTTTTCTCCGTGAGCCAAACTTCTAGAGAAAACCAAAAAGAAGCTTCTATTCTTAGATATACATAATTGTGCATGTATGGGTAAAGACTGAAAAAATGCATGAGCCCTTTGGACAATGCAGTCTGCTGTCTTTGAAAAAATTAGGACAAACTGCTCTCAATGACTTCAGTCAATTCCTGTATTTCCATGTAGTTCTTGTGGTGAGTGTTGTTGTTGTTGTTGTTTTCTTTTTGTTTGTTTGTTTGTTTCTTTTCTCATTTAAGGTATGACTGGCAGTTATCTTAGTTTTGATTCTCATGTCCAATATATACACCCAATCTGACTCAGGAGACAAGTCATTCCATTTGGGTCAGGTTGAGGATTATTATTAAGCGTCTCGAAAATCGACTTGTGGTAAGACATTTCCACCTTAAGAGGCACGGTTTATTCAGATTTCCAGTATCACAAGATGACTTAACCACTAATTAACTTCTGGTGGGTCGATTTGTGAACGACTCAACCCAATTTGGATGTATTGGACAACCCTCAACATTTAATAATTAAAGATGAGTTAAGATAAAAAAAAAAAATGAACAAAAAAATTTAAAAAGATAATTTTTCCCAATTTCTCGTAAAATACAAGGGTAATTTCACCACGTGCTTGAAGTGAATCTTACATTTGTATCTTCTAAATTTAACCATGCGATACGTTTTAAAGCACTTTAAGCAATTCACCTCCTGCAGCGGCCGTTCTTTTATTTTCTTCTTCTGAGCTGGTCCACCTGCACCAATTCCTGCTAGCTCTTCTGGATGATAATCTTCCATGACTTCAAGGGACACAAATCCATCCATTTCGCCCGCAAAGAACAAAGGATCGTCAAATTCTACTGGTTCCCATTTTCGCTTCTTCCCTTTCGAATTCTTCTCTGCCATTATGGAGCAATAAGCAAAGAGCTTTAGTTGAGAAACTGAATGTAAAAGCTCTTTTAAATAACAAACAACCGTTTTGGTTTATCCTTAGAGAATTAATAAAAACAATCTCACGTCGTCCGCCATTATGGATTACCCTCCAGAGAAGGACTGGATAAGAATTTGTACTGCGCGCATATTCAAACGGGAGTCATTCGCTGATTTATTGCTACATGACTTTTCTCCCTTCGCCGAGTTCACTGAAACCTTTGTGAAACGTGAATGAAAAGATTAACATCACATGGTGAAAGAACACCGTACATTCAAAGAGGAGTGCATTTATATTGAGCGCTTAAACGAAAACTCGTTTCTTATCAAGAAAGGCTTTGTCCCAAAAATGAAGGTAAGTGAACGCGCGCCAAACATCAGATCGGAAGCTCAACTCCAGCTGAGTAGCGTGCGCGTCAAAATACACGTCTGACGATGTCATACGTGAGAATGTTGATAATAAGCTATGGTCATCGAAATAAATCCCCTTACACCTGCCATATCCGTCAAAGTAATTTCCTTCTTTGAAATAAGTTTTGTCACAAAGGAAATTTTTTCTGGGACAACTAGATTTTGTTCTTTCCCCCCCCCCCCCCCGCCCTCTTCCCCACCTTTTCTGCACCTTTTCTACCCACGTTATGATCAAATCCCCGCCCCCTGCCCCCCTCCACGTCTCTCATGTCAGAACTATTTTCTTTTTGTTTGTTTGTTTGTTTCAATCAGTCAATTCGCGAACTACAGTCAAACCTGTCTTAGGTGACATCGTATCGAGCACTTGCACTGTATTAGACGCCATATTCCCGTGGGTGACTGCTTATTACAGGGTTGACTGAATTGGACAAATATATTTTGTCCTCACTTCCTCCATTAAACCCAGATTATATCCATTATTGTCCCCATCCCCCCTAATTTCTCTCCTTTTCCCCTAGTTGCAGACTGTGGTGTTTTGCTGGAAATTGTTGATGCAAGAATGTCCTAATAAGTACTGGATTAGGATGTTCTGATTAATTAGTACCATGGACAAATTTTTACATTCTGTTTCAGATACAAGACTTGAGGTGGATTAGGATGTTCTGATTAATTAGTACCATGGACAAATTTTTACATTCTGTTTCAGATACAAGACTTGAGGTGTACATTGCAACTATTCAACTCTAAAGTTCAAACTATTCTTTTCTTTTTTTTTTCTTTAAAGGTTGAAGGTATCTTCTATATAAACAAGCTGCTCGAAAAACTAATGTTTGATGAGCTGAAGTACTGGGCTGGAACTCAAGGTACAGTACTTTAAACATTTGAAATTATATTTGCTGCATTTGTCTTATTCCTTTTATACAATTAAATTAAAATGCTCTTCAGGTATTGGTGGTTTCCTTCCTGGTATAAGGCAGATTGCAAATGTTGCAGCTGTGCCTGGAATTGTTGGTGTAAAAATGATCACAACTTTTTCTTGTTGAAATTACAACTTAGTTTAATTGAAACTTGTTCAATCCTGGGCCCAGTTGTTCGAAGGCTTATAAGAGCTAACCCAGGGTTAAATTTTATTCAGGGAATGTTTAATACTTTGTTTAAAAGCCTTTTAAAATAATATACCATAGTTTTTTTAGGGCATCCAATCATCAAATCACAGACTAAAGGAATTGTACATGTAGACTGAATTTCATTTGAAAGCTTTCAGATATGAAATCAGATTTCACACTGACCATTAGTTATCTAAACTCAGCTTTTAACAAACCGGGCACCCTGTACTCTTGGGAAGCAGAGAAAGTATAAAGTGGAGATGACAAAAGAGTTTCTTGCTATACAGTTTGTGTTTCCAGAGTATTTTTACACAAAGATTTCACTTAAAGTGATGCCAAATAGAGCATCCAGTTATCCAGTTAGATCCAGTTAGATCCAGTTATCTCATGCACGATCTTGAGAACACATGCAAATCAGTTTTTCCGCTTTAAGCAAAAGCCCTTAGAACTGTTTTTCTAGGAGTTTTCTTAAGTTCCTGTTTATTTCCCTCAAAAAAAAGGAAAACTGAAAGTGAAAAAAGGCAAATAGAATTAAAAGGCTACGTACATTATTTAAACTTTATGTGCTCTTATTTACCTTGTCAATGGAGTTCCTAGGCCGCTCATGCAGATCACAACACAATGACTCAGTTTAATTCTAGCCATTCTAGTTGTAACATTCCTTCACTTCTTTTTTGCTTATGGACTACAATGCTTTTACTGTCACTTTAATACCTATTTGTCAACGGTAAACCCTGTTTGAACAGGAAAAGAAAGCCAGTAGCACAGCGTACACACAAACAGTGTAGCGTTGTGTGAAATGGCTAAGCGTAATTTTGAATGGTACAGCGTACATATAAACAGTGTAGAGTTGCATGAGATGGCTCAGCATAATGTTGAATGGTACAGCGTACACACAAATGGTGTGGCGTCGTGTGAAATGGCTCAGCGTAATGTCAAATGATGTAGCGTTGCATGGAATGGCTGTTGTTATCAGTATCTGTTGTCTACATTGGCAGTAGAAAACAGACAAACAGAGGAGTTTCTTGATCACAGTGCAAATTTCAGGAAGATAAAAATTACCTTTTTTAGTTATAATTAAAAAAATATGTGCAAAAGACATTATAGTTACCTAAAACAATTCTACTGTAGAAAATAGTGGGAAATGCTTGTTTTCTGTGTTTACACAAAACTAGCAACTGTACAGTGCAGAACCCAGCTAGTCTTGAACTCTCGAGGGAAGCAACAATTTGCTCATACAGCTGGGAGTTTGCGATAGAGGGGTAAATTTGTTTGTAAAACAGGAACAAGGGATGCTGCTCTTTGTTCGAGATAAGGAGTTTGAGGTAGCTGAGTTCAAGATAGCCAGTAGTAAATGCCTGAGAAAAGCAGGGCAAACCCAAGGGTCCAAGGTTCAACTGTACCATATTTACCCGTGTATAATATGCATTTTTTCTATAAAAATAACCATCAAAATTGCAGTGTGTATTATACACAGATTCTATTGTTTGTCAAGCAGGTCCTAATTTGCATATGTTAAAAACACAACAAAGAAAGTAACAAAAGCTTAGTAGTAACTGGTCTTTATTAGCTTGAGTAAAATAATCTACCAATGGTAATTGTTTTTAGCAAGTGCCTAACCTTGAAGGTATCTCACAGCATTCGCAGCAAATGGTCACCAAATTAAGTATTAATGTGTCACAGCAATGCAATTTTTTAGATGCACATTTACTTTTTATTACTAGTAATAATTATTTTGCAAGGTGCAATTCCCAAGCAGCAGTTGTGACAGATTCTCTTGTGTCTATCTATCTACCTATCTATTTATCTATCTGTCAGGTTCCAAGGGGGTTGGCAAGAGCGCTCTCCTTTCACGTCATATAGCAGTTAAGGCAACAATTGGGGAGGAGGATTGGAGAACAGCATATTTTGTGAGTACAACATATATTCTACTGTTATTTCGGCTGTTCAAATATAGGTTATTTGTCACCTAGCAATGTAAATATTAATAAGAACCATATTTACATAATTCAGCCATTGAATAGCCCTTTTGTATACCTTTTTCGTGCAAAGAGACGGTGGTGCCAATCAAGTGTTAAGTTGCAAGTTCATGCTTTTCTTTACCACATTGTTTGAAAACACAACAAATCATTTCCATTTGAATTCCATATTAAAGATACATGTCTGCCCCAGCTATGTATGCCCTTAAAATATATGTTTAGTTTACTGTCTTTCATCTGACAATCTCTCCTATGGGAAACCAGGGCTAAAAATTGGCAGTCACACGGTCGCCAGTGGCGAGTTAAAACTGACTAGGGCTACCAAAAGTTAAGGGTTGAATGCCCAGTGTGCGACTATGCTACAGAATTTCATAACGTTGCAATGTAAGTTATTCAAAGTACAAAGTTAAAAATAAAACTCAATATATAGTTCAATTGGACTACCCTTCTCTTCGTTTCTTTGCCTGGACTCTAAGATTATCCATTTTAGTTAATTTTTAGTTCTAAAGTGGAAATTCCGAGCCATTTTAACAGTGATTTCACAAGCAATCCACATTCACAAAATATAGACACCATTTTGATTTTGTGACTGCCACGTGACTCTGGACATACCTAGAGTTCCGTGCAGGATGGTTTCGAGGTACACGTTTCTGCTTTGAGGAAGAATTTGTTGATAGGCTTATCCAGAAATACCTGTAACCACAGTCACTGCATACAAGAATGTCTTTGAACAAAAACCCAGCTTTTTCTACAATGATTTTTACAACAAGTGCAAATAAATTCTTGAAGTTACTTTATTGCAGTTTACTTTATTTACTTAAATAAATAAAAACACTTAACACCTCTAATAATTTTATAGTGCCAAATGAATGGCCAAAATGTTAAAGAAAAATGTCTCATGGCATTACCGGGGGCATTGCCTTTTTGTGTTCTTTCCTTTTAGTTAATGCTCAGTTAAAAGCCATGGGGCACTTATTCAAGTTTTTCATTTTAAACTAGAGGAAATCGAGGGCTTCTTCATATTGGGATGGGCCACTAAGAATTCAAGGAAACTGTCTCGACTGGCCATCAAGCACTGGAGTTAATTTTTAGCCCAGGGAAACACCAAATTTTTATGACATGCCACTGAAAGATTTCAAACAGCTATATGAGAGGTTGTGGCAGATATGCCATTCTTTCTTTTTACCAACAATATCCATCAAATACCCAGGGATGAACAAGCTGCACATATATTGAAGTGCATTTTAAAGGAGACCATCACCCTCTCTGTGAGTTAAACATTGCAATATGAATAGTATAACTGAATACCTATCAGTTAGTTTGAATTAAAGGTCATTCCACAGTATTTTGTCCCCAACTAGAAGGTTTTTGAATCTTTCATGGCAGACTTAAGATCCTTGTAGCATTGTTGCTTGATAAATGAAGTTTGTGATAGATCTCAAATTTTGGGGATGGAATGCAAAATGGTTGCATAAACTGTAATACATTATAGAAAATATCAAAATGCCTGTTGTGGAGACGACAAATACATTTCTTGTTGAAGAAGTAATAAAAACTAAAATCACACAAAAGTTGCCAGAACACAAATGTGTGCAAGTGCCCTCTACAGAACAGTTATTGGAAGATGGCTCAGTGGGTAAGGCTCAGTACAGTATGCAACTTCCATTCCCCAAATGTTGTCTCTGGAAGGGTTTGACACTCCAAAGTTTCTGTTATTTCTGAATAAAAAAATTGAAAGTATTCTTAGAACTTCTGATTTATGACAGAATATGAGGGGTTCTCAAAGGTCAAAAACCTTTAGGAAATGTATGAAGTGTACATGTAATTGGAATTTTCAGGGGCGTGGAGAGGGGGAGTCTTAGGATAAATCCCTTTCATGGGGAGGGTATGGATAATTTATGGAACTACACAATATGAAATTTTGGACATTATTTCCATTGCAGAGACAACACTTACCAGAGCATTACTGCCCCAAACATCTGAATATTTTTTTCAATGCAAGAATAGAAACAGAAAAGTGATCTCAACATGAGCTCAACATAATACAATAGCTGAGATGCTATTACATATTCATTATACACCAGAAAATTTCAACATCTTGAATACAAAGTTTCAGTTGCTAATTCTTGGTAGATATTATTCTTTAATAAAATCAGTTTTAGATGTTATGGCAGAAAAGTTTTCTTTTAAAGTACAACTGTAAACAAAAAATGACAATTATATGGCTTTGTGTGGTTGTGGTTTCCATGATCTAGTTCAAGTAAAATCGATTGCTTGGCCAAAATTTGGGGGATTGGGACTAGTTTACTCTGAGAATAACCAATGGAGGTTCAGTGTGACAGGAAATGTGCATCCTGGAATCTCCATGCCCCAGAATATCATATAAAGTGTGTTTTGTTGTAAGACTTGAACTTTATAAAATATTTCCATTGTTAGCAGTGGGTGGAATTTTTTGCCGTCTCCACAACATGTGTGCACTTGCATAATGGCAATTGTCACAAGAAAATACCAAATGCTTCTACACTGCATGACCCTGTATGCATTATAGATATGTTGGTCTAAAAGAACATAAATATAGAGATTTTAAAAGCATTTCACATTCAGAGGAATTTTGAATTAAATTTGTTGCATCAAATATTGTGGTTTCTCTGATGTCTTCTCTGCAAGGGTCAGGTACAATTTTGAGCAATGTAAAATACTTGTGTGTACACCTTCTTCTTCTGGTAACCACACAATAAGAGATAAATTGAAGACATGAAATTTTGATTTCACCTAGTATGGCATAAAATATATCTCCAAATGTCATCTCCGCAACAGACAAAATACTGAGGAATGACCCTTAATTTGAATAATTAACTGAGTCTGAACTGTGTGCAGTCAAACCTCTATTAAAGTGTCTATCACCCTTAAATAGATATTTTCAGAATCAACTCTATGCACATTAGTTAGTTAATGTTGTTAATGTTGTTGTTGTTTGTTGTTAAATGGTGAAATATTTCTTGTTTTTGAATTTACAAAATGCTAATTAGATGATGTCAACCTGGGAATTTGCCATTATTTCTATGCCAATTTACAATGTGCAGTATACAGCTTGAGGATAATTAATTTGATGAATACAAAAAATAAACTGTGGATAGTCAATTGATTGGTAAAAAATATCACTTGGAGGTGAAAACAAGTAGTTGTATAATAAATGATTCCCATGTTGACGTCATTAATTAGCATTTTGTAAATTCAAATCTATATAGCTCAATAACGCGACGTTCAAAACAAATATTCCACCATTTAACTGTTCAATGTGTGTAGACTTGATTCTGAAAATATAATTGTATTTAAGGGTGGCAGGCACTTTTAGTGGCCATACTTTAATCAGTTACAGCCACCAACTATAACAGTCATTGTTTAATTCTAGAACTGGAGTGTCATGGCAGCAACTTCCAGACATGGTCTGTTCTCGTTATTCAGTGGTGACAAACCTCTTCTCAGTTGCCATGATTTAAATATTGTGTATTGTGTCAACCCAGAAGAATCAGTGGGCAGAGCCTTATTCAAACAAATCATGGTGAGTTTGTTGTACTTAGTGAGCACCCAACTATTCATTTCAGTAAAGCTGTTCAGATGGCGTATGACAGCTAAAATTTGTGTTAGTGGTTTCTATGCTTTGCATTGTTTAATTTAAAGGAGTGAGTGGAATAAAGCTTTGAGTGACTTCTGATCAACTGCTAGATTCTCCTTCCAGTTTATATTGTATATGCTCGTGTAACGAAGGGAGAATTTGGCTATAAATCAGGAGTCACCTAGGGCCTTATTCCAAACATTATTTTGAATAAGGCCCTAAGTGACTCCTGATCTGAAGCCAAATTGTTACATGAGCATATACAAGACAAACTGGAAGGAGAATCTAGCAGTTGATCAGAAGTCACTTAGGGCTTTATTCCAATCACCCCTTCATTTCGCACCGTAAAATTTTCGAACACTACAAACACATGAAATTTGCCAAATTTTCGGTCATTTTTACTAAAAAAAGGTCACTTAGAAAATTTTGGACAGCAATTTTCAGCTGGCATTTTTCGGAAAAATCACATTTTATTCCAAAGAATTTTCGGCTAAGTAAATTTTCAGCTAGAACATTTGAACAGGTAATATTTTTCTAACGATCTGTAGGTTTGTATATGTTTGATAAATACATGCGGCGTAATAATTTTTCCCACATACAGTACCGACAAGAACTATCCCCCACTAAAATTGCACCAAAAGCAGACCTGAGCAGAACATACTTTCTGAAGTGAACCCAACCAAACTTCAAGCCCATATATAAGCTATATAGGTATGTGCCGCCTAATAGGGTCGGGTTTTTGAGCCTCTGGATCCATAAATAGGGTGTCTTATTCGCGATTCTGGGTCTGCTCATGTTTGCACTGATGTTTGCATGTGAAGTGGGGGTTAGTTCCAGTCGGTACTGTAACTGCAACGACAATCCAATCGGAGGGTTCAATCGACGGTGAGGAAAGAGGCCTCACTACTCTATGTACAGTACCGCTCGCGTATACGTTAGCTGCGCAGGCGAATTTCATACGCTCCGACGCAGGGTAGTCAGACGCGTATATACGATTTTTTTGCACGCTCGGTCGAAAAAAATGCGCGATTCATGTGCCTTTGTTATTCAGTGCTACAAGTTTCCTTTGTATTTCATTGTTGTATGAAACAATTGACTTCTAAGTTTGAAAAAGCGATGAGTAGACATGTCGCGTCGCTTCGCGAATTTTTCGGATAACGTGTAGTAGCAGTAGATTGATGTTAAGCCTTCTGATCACCAACTACATTTATGATTTGTAACGTTCATATTTGTCATATTACAGGATATCCAAACTGAGCAGGAATTGTCCCCGGGCCCACCGACGTGCTGGCACACATTGGCTATATTCCTCGAACAGTCATTCAGTACGCTAAGTACCTTCTAAGAGGCAACAGTAACGTTGAACTTTTCATGGTCAAGGCAATTACTAATATTCTACAAGTAGTAGAAGACGAAGCACTCTAGATTCCTGATAGGTGCAAACGTGTGCGCATCAGGTCACTAGCGATGATAAGTACTTGCAAGGCTAGTGGTATGTTTGAAATGAGGTGGTCACCATCAACCTTTTCCTGGTCTTGTTTGAAACCACCAGGATTCGATTTGAAAGAAGTATCCGTCGTTAGCCCTCTGGTTGAAGAAGCTGTTGTGCAGTTTACGTTGGAAAATCCTAATTATTTGTTGGATGTAGTAAGTATTGATTTTTTTTACTCTGGCGATCAAATCCTGGGGTGGGGGGCCGATACTGAACTGACAGGGGGGCTCGGCCGTACCATTTTGTGTGTAAAATTCCAGATATGGTACCATTTAGGGGGGCTGTTGAAAAAAACAATTTTATAATTAACTTGGTACCATTTAGGGTGTCAATTGATTACTAATTGGAATCTGGTTACCGGTTACCGATTTCAGACTTTCAGTTACCGGTTACCGATTTCAGACTTTCAGTTACAGGTTACCGATTCCCCGTTTGGTAAACAAACAACATTTTTTCCATGCAAAACATTATAGTAAATGTGCTCGACTAGTACCTCGTCTATTAACAACAAATTAAGCGCTAGAATGAGCAGACAATCAAAACATGTCGAATTCTTCATGACACATCTGAAATCGGTAAACGATAACCAGATGCCAATAAGTCAGTCAACTTATTTGTCATGTAAAGCAGAGTACAAAAATATCATTCTCGATCAGCTTTTCAGTCAACCTACAGTGCCTTTTATGGGTCATTTTTAGGGCCACAGCCGAGCCCCCCGGCTGTCAGTTCAGTATGGGAGCCGAACTCCCCCACCCCGCCCCACGGAGAACAAATCTGCAGGTCTATAGGCTGGTTAACCGCGGTCAAACGAGAGAAATTTGCAAAAGTTAAGCAAAGTACTTAAAGGTTAAGGTGGTCGTTTTCACTGTTTATTAAAGTTTAGTATATTGCCAACATATTTACCAAAATTTACCAAACGTTTTGAAAGTTTACCAAAAAAGTTCTAAACAGTGAACCGCAGAATCGTCGACGCCATTTGTCAACATAATTTGGATCAGGCGCAAAGAGTTTTGGTCAGTTTTCCACGGAAAAAAGCTCATCATTTTGAGAAAAATTAAAAGATAATAACGTGAACTAATTTTTTTACTCATCCTTGCTTACATTAAATAAAATCCCACTGAATAAAACGAAAACCGCGTTGGACGTTTGACCGCGGTGGACTAGGCTGGATACATCCCTGCGTTTGGTAAATGAAAGAAATAATTATGGCTTCATTCACCATTCATTCAGCGTGTCACGCCCCAAAGCATAAAGTATAATGAGGCTCCATCTCTTCATCAGGTGGATACCATAAAAGGCCTATCTGCAGGGAGACCTGGCAACTTAGTTGGCAAATATTGGGAGAAGCTGATATTTAGCAATCTCAAGGAATGTGTGAAAAATGAGTATTCCTTCAAGGAAGAGGCATGTGGTTCCACTGCTGCTAGCTCCTACTTAAATTTGTGTGGACATCAAAGCAAAACAGATACGAGAAAATCGATAGAACAGATAATTAGAGATAAATATAGTGCAATGATAGTCCATTGTCCTAATACCAACGCCTTTGACTTTGTCATCTTTGATAAATGCAACAAAATTCATGCCATTCAGGTAACCGTTCAAACCGCTGCGAAGAAATGTAACGACAGTGACTTTTTCAAGACTAAAAATATTCACTTTACGTATTTACTAGCGCCTTATAAGGTCGACGTCAACGCTATTAAATTGAAATCAAAGTTATATTATGCATATGTGGCGTATGGTTTGCGAATTGTAAATGGAGCCAGTTTTCTAACTCAGAAAGAATTGAGTACCGGTACTTTTCAATTTGGCGTCGAAGCCACTTGAAGATCTGTCTTGGCGTGGATTAATAAAACGGGTATTTCATCTTCAACATCTTTATTGCCCATGTGGAAAAAGGGACTTCCCTTCTCATGAGGCTTGAAAGAAACCACCCCGAACATACGGAAGATTGCTGAAGTTTACCCCCTCTTATTTTGAAACGAGCGCGGTGACCCCCATTTTTATTTCATTTATATTTCTGAACTTCACTTGTATCGATCTTTGTTTATGCAAGGTTTCAAAACTTTTCTCTAAGTCCCGAACTACCTTAAATTATATGCATTAATACATACAGTAATTAGACTATTATATATTACTTACGCGCATATAACGAGACGAGATTATACAAACAATGACATGTGTCAAGAACTACAAAAGTAGTTAAAATTTTCGACCGCCATAGCGAACAAAACAAAACGAGGTCTGAATTGCCCTTATTCATAATGACGTCACATCAAAACAATCTATTGTTTAAACGCAAAGAATCATGGTTGCGGGAGGGGGACAAAACAGCAACAACACAAAAGAAATTGAGATAAAATTCGTTTTATAGACCAAAGAAAAGCGGTGACAGCCATCAAGTGCAATAAATATTGCTTATTAAACATTAGTGCATCTCATATTTGAGTCCCAGGCCATTTGAGTTCAAACTTTTCTTACCAGAGCGAGTTTTAAACGAATTACTATTGTTCTAGACAATTCTGTCCCCCTCATAGACAAGCCCTGACGTCATCATGAAGAAGAGCACTTAAAAACAATAAACGGAATATTTATTGGACGCTAAAACAATTGACAGTGAAATGAAGAACTTTCCTAATTAAGCATTGTAATATAGCATTTGTAGCATAGATTTCGTAATTCCAAAAAAGTATCCATCCCACTCCCGCCCCCCACGGATGGATTTTTTCACACAGCCCTTTGGAAACAACTTTTACAGATTAGAGAGTTACTCTAAATCTCACCCTAAATGGATAATTTGGGAGGGGAAGCTCTTGATCTTTTGAGTTCCTGTTTGTAATTTTCATAATTAAAAAAAAAAAAAAAAAATACAGCGACCGTCTAATACACGAACTACTTTCCATGTCATACACTTAAAGGCATAAATACGGGATTCGCGAAAGGAGAAGCCTTACGCCTCCTAGGACCAAATTCGTCACGCTCAACGTTTAACAAAAACTTACAGAGTTTCAAGTATGCTTAAAGAATAAAGAATACCGAGAATAAGGTTTTGAGAAACATATCTTTGGAGTTACTTTATGCGGAAGGGACAATATAACTGAGAACGAAAAAAATAGCGCGCACAAATGAAAATGTTACCTTTGGTAACACAATCTCATCCGGCTGTGCCAAACCTCAAGATGACCAAGAACATACAGATGGATAAATGACACCTTAAAAGTAATCTTTATTATCACATCGCAAACAAAAGTCCTTAAATAATATCCTTATAACAGCTAAGCTTTCAGGTTAGCAGATTTAAAAGCGCAAGCGAATGGCAGGACTCGCACAAGCCTATCAACACCTTTTAACCATCGACAACCTTCTGATTTCCGGTTATCCGGCGTGTTGCCGTGTGCATTGTAGACTGTTATTTATGGGCAAGTGACTCCTTTCGTTGCTCTAATTCATCTGTCCTTCATTCAGTGATCAAGTAAGTAGATTTACCATACAACACTCGCCATTAGTGAATTCCCTTTTACCTAGGAAAGTAGATTTACAACACGATTGAGTATACGATAGTAACGCTGTGTAACGCAACAATAGGCCTGCTCTTAGCCATAATCGGTCTCAAACACTATCACTTAAAAAGCGAGAAACACATGTACCGTTTGAGAGCGTTTGGTCAGAGCCGTTGAAGTAGAATCAAAGCGGCCATCCAAATCTTTTAAAGGCTCCAAACTAAGACGTACATCAAACTTGACCTTCTCGAAAACCGGTCTCAAATTACTTACTGAAAAATAGTGACTGCGTTTGTCCTTGGGAACCGTAGAATACGGGACAAATACGTACAAAAAAATATTTTTGCAAATTCAAAATAAATCAAATTACATTTATCTATAGTGAAAGGAAAAATGAACGGCCTAACTTTTACGGAATGTTCAGTCAAAATCTGCCGATTTTTGCTGCTTTCACCGCCATATTGAAAATGAAGCTACCACAATGCAACGCAATCGGAGTGCGCACACCGCCTGCATCTTACCGAATCGGCGTGACATTGTAAACTCTAGAAAACTATTCAGCAACAAAAATCGAAAATGGTTTTTCCATTCCGATAGATTATTCTCCCTATTGCCCCTGAAGAACCCACTTCGCAAACACACTAGTTTTGGAAAGAGTCTAGCAGCGTGGAGAAATTTAGCCGCGACTCAAATATTTCTCTTTCTGTTTCGCTCATCTAAATGCAACGCATTTTTTTGTTTGGATTACGTATCTCCAAACAAAAATAAAAAAAGGAAAAAGGATATCAGTGACACATTGCTTTCTTTTTTCTTTAAATGGATAAAGCCTGAAAATTTCCAATTCCGCATATCCAAGACTACTTGTGCAAGGGGATGCAAGTTATACAAGCGTGAAAGAATTTTATCATATTCCATCTTTGGCACTCTTCACCGCCACCGTTTTCATCTGTCACTTGCTCGTAAACCGACGTTCAGCTTCCCAAGAAGCTGTTATTAGGGAAGTATTTGACGTAGCTTGACTTATTTGGCTGTTTTTTTGTATTTTTTCCCAGCAAAAATTCAATTTAATCGAACCCTGTCGGAAATTAACGTATTTGTGTACATTATCGTTGAAAAGAAATGCTAGTCGCGTCTTTTACGACACCGTAAGTCCGCTCTGTACTTCGTAGAAGAACGAAAAACAAAGGAAATGTAGTTGGTAAACACACTTTTTGAACAGAAATGAAGTTCACTTAGAACTTAAACCCGAGAAAACTTCAAATATGTGACATTTATTGCCTAAAAAGCCATGTGCGAAGAAATACTAAATTCTGAATTTTTGGTCGTAATGGTGGCCGTTCAAAAAAAGTTGACCTTGAACTTTCTTCGGAGAAGAGTACGTTTCCTTGCGATAAATAAGGACATTTGCTGTCAGATGCGATTGTTAACCGTGCGATGTACGACTATTAAGTCTAAAAGCCGGTCAAACACGATTATTAAGGAGTTCGTACGCGGTTAATAGTCGTACTTACCACGATTATTAATCGTGATAGAAGACGCTTTCAGACTATTAATCGGAAGAGATGCCATTTGCGATTCATAGTCTTATTTAAAGGACTTTTAAGCCAAATAATCCTAAAATTTTCACTCCGGAAATTAATAAACACCTGTTCAAAAATATCCGTACTTGCATTAGAAATGATCTATGAAAGCAATGGTTCTCGAAATGCTCCGAACGCACACGCAAATCTTTTGGAAGAAATGTCCTTCCAATGGTATGAATCATGCACGTCAATAAATTTGGTATTTTAGCAGGGGATCCTGCTTGGTTTTTACCGGACTAGAGCACTCGAACGTTTCGCAATTAGCCATTTTGCTAGGGAAACCCTTGGATAACCCCAACTACGAAAGTACGGAGCAACCATTACACGTCATCAACCCAAAATGCCTTGCGCACCTAAAAAGATGGAGAACGCGGGTAGTTCGAACTTGCCGTGAAGGCCAGTTTTGAAGGCCGAAAAAAATTAACAAGGTTAGAGGTATGATAGAGAACAGTATGCATGTAGAATATGCATACTAACGTTGAGGCATGAAGTTTTATCTAACTAAAAAGGAGATTTAGACTATGGCACCTTAAAGGTGGCCTCATGGTTAGTGCGCTCGACTCCGGATCGAGTGGTCCGGGTTTGAACCCTGGCCGGGGTCATTGTGTTGTGTTCTTAGGCAAGACACTTTACTCTCACAGAGCTTCTCTTCACCCAGGTGTACAAATGGGTACCAGCGAATATGCTGGGGGTAACCCTGCGATGGACTAGCATCCCATCCAGGGGGAGTAGCAATACTCCTAGCCACTTCATGCTAAAGGAAACTGGAGTTAAGCGCCAGCCCCATGGGCCACTTGGGCCTGTACAAAGGCTTTACTTTACCTTAAAGGGGGATTTGCAAATAACCTCTTAGAGTTTAACTGTTAAAGAGATACTTTAGACATTATAAAGACACATCACCTCCATTAAGCGTCTTCATAATTTTCTTGTATGATCCCATTTCTTCTGGGCCAACAAGAACGACACTCAGACCTTCCCTGCTTGCTCTAGCTGTCCGTCCACTGCGGTGAATGTAAAGCTGTTAACGAACACAGAGAAAGAATTTAGGAACGCAGGATCACATGAAATGGTTGCGCTAAAGTTAATACTTACATTGTGGTTACATCATTACACAACAGTTCATTATTAAATGAGATACAACTGAGGACGATAAACAATAACAAGCTGCTCCTCTCATATAAACTGCATTTGGAGAACAGAGTCAATTTTTTCCTAAATCAAAACTCATTAACTTAAATGAATTACGTTTTGATTTCGGTAGGTGAACCTCACACATTAACTCAAATCGGAAACAAAACAAAGATTTAGAAAATGGAGATTTAGTTATAAGTAAATTAATGCAATAAAATAAATTTAGAGGTTTCTGGTTGAGCTTCTTTTACAGTTGAGACTTGTAGCCCACACCTTGGTCAACGCGTGGTTGGTTGAAGCAGCGTGACTTCCGAAGCCTTTTGTCAGGGTAGAGTTTTGCGAAGAATGAAAGCACTGCCGCCAAAAAGCAATCGCTCCCGTTCCCGTCTGCCGCACAGGCTAACCACCGACACAAGCTAACCAACCTTACACACATACTTACACGTACTTACATCAAGGTCCTTCGGAACTTGATAGTGCATTACATGCTCAACAGCTGGTATGTCCAAACCTCTGGCGGCCACACCTGTAGCCAGAAGTAAGCCACTCGCACTTTGCTTAAATCTAACAGGCAAGAAAAAAATCAGCAAAACTTTCATTTGCTGGTGTAAGTCCTATCTAGCTTTAAATATTCTCTGAGGGAGGAGAGGGGCGGGTTTTAATCAGTCAAGGCGACCCAGTTATAGTCTATAAATAAAGGAAATTCCATTGGTCGGTTAGTTCGTAAACTATACTCACTGTATGTTTTGTAGTTCTCCTTCGATTTCACTTGGTACACCTCCATGGATCATGTTCCTAGACAGTGCGGTGTACGTGTCGATGCATTTGGCTCAAACCAACAATAAAAAGTAATAAAAATTGTATCCTGGATCTTGAAGTGTTTCTCTTCCTTGTCAGCTCAACTATTACAAACCTTCTCTTCAATTACACATGAGATCTTTGCTTCTGTCTACGGTTCCTCTCTTGTTGGTGACATCGATAATTTTACAACTGTTCTTCTGCTGCCCAACTTTGTCCATCGGTGACATTAAAAATGTAAAATGCAAAGAGTATTGCTGTTAACGGAAGAACACAAGCCGATCAACTTAATCATGTTTAACTAAGATGTTAGATAACAAAGACAAAAGCAAAACAACACAATACAAGCTTCGACACACTTCATAAAGCAGCAAATTTTCGGGTTTTAAATGATGGATTATTTAAATCATTTCATTCCTTAAGTAATAGCTGATAAAATACGTTGATACTATCTCTAGCTTCTATTACTCTGAGTCAAATATGCCGTGATTTACCAAAGCCTTCTTCGCTTGTGATCTTCTTTTACTTTCCTTTCCTCTTAAACGACTTTGGAAGAGTTAAAGTTGCAGAGAATATAAACTTCTGTAGATGTCTTCGCTTTGCAGTTCCCTCATCTTCATCATTATCACTGCGAAAAGGAAACATTAAAGTTAAAATTTGATAAAAAGAGAGTCATTTACCTCAGTTTACAAGTTGACAGTCATGAAAACCATTAATTTCAGAAAGAGAAGCCTGAAAGAAATTGAAGCTCCGATGGAAATTGAAGTCCATTGCCTCTTTCTTTGAATGAGCTCCAATATAGAAGATAATTCTTGAAAGTGGCCTTGCTCGACCATTCGGTCTGCCTCGTCAATCACAAGATATCTCAAGTGCTCCAAACGGCATGCTCTTAACCCTAAAATTAAACGCCGCCAGAAGATATCTCTAGAATCATCCATTTGATAGAAAGAGGCTACACTCCAATTTAACCGTTGGGTATACGAAAAAGAAAAAAAACGCCCGGCACTGATGTTTACAGAGCAGTAGAAAATGCTTACAGCTGTAATTATCATTTTTTACGGCGTTTTACGAACGGAAAAACTTACACGACATTCGAAATCCAAATTCATGCTGAAAACTACACAGGACAACCGATCTCATGGGAAACATACCTACATGTACAAGTGTGTGTTGACTGTTTCAGATCTCTAAAAGAAAGTGAATCAGTACAACTTATGATACATGAGGTACTTACCTCGGAAATCAAATCCCACAGTCTTCCCGGGGTGGCTACTATTATCTCAGGACACTTGTTTAAAAGCCTCTGCTGTTTTTGAGGTGCCATTCCTCCAACCACAGCAACAATCTTGAAAAAAAAGAATTGTTTACTGATTCAAATGATTTTGAGGTACTTTGTTTGGTGGGTATTTCTCCGATAAAAGATAAAGTTGAAACAGGACTAGAAGGGGTGGCAAGGGAGTGGAGGGTAGGGGTTTAATGGTACATCATAGGGGCTGGGATTGTAATTCTCTGAACAAAAGGGTTTTTATATACTTTGCTGGTGAAGGTACCAAAAAAACAATAGAGTTTATGTTTGAGGGAATAACAATGTTTTCAGCTCTAACTCATCATTATTTAAATTGCTTTAAAGCCTATTGTGGCTACAAATTCATGTTTTCCCCAAAAAATTAAAAAATGCTTTCCAAACAAGAGATAGGTTTGCATTCTGCTCCACTGAAAAGAGGAGTATTGAAGGCTCAGGAAACAAAATTGACTTGGGCCAATAAAAATAAAGAAATAATTGAGTTTCTAACAATGGGAAAACAGAAACTAACTGTGGAGGTGACTTCCAAATTGTCAATTTAAGTACATGATGTTACCTCTAAAGATGTGTGTTTTGCAGCCTGTTTAAGATGATTCTTTATTTGTATAACCAATTCTCTGGTTGGTGTCATTATCAACACCAGGAGTGGTTTCTTGAGCTTGGATGTTCCATTACCAGTTTCTGTGGCTTCTGTAGCATTATTTTTGGTAGTATTTTCTGTAGTTTCACCTGCTTCTTGATTGGACTTGTGGCCAAGGATATGGGTGAGAATTGGAATCCCAAAGGCTAGTGTTTTACCCCTGAACCCTAGTAAATACATAAAATTGTTTTAATTAATACCCTTAAATAATAACCTCCTCAAAAACCAACCATTCCTGGAAGCTAAACTTCTCCCAAGTGATTTTATCATAACTTCAACAGACAATTTCAAGGCATTATCCAAAAAATGATATGAGAACTATGAAACTTAGAACTTGAAGGGACTTATCTTGACAATCTTATTGTAATACACATTTTTGTATAAATAATGTTCCATCAACCAACTATAGGAAGATATAGAATGCCTACATATAGAAGGAAGAACTATTACATTAGTTCTTAAGAGAGTAAAATTTAACCATCAGTCAGTCAGTCAGTCAGTCAGTCTCTCTCTCTCTCAAGAGGTACATCATACACATACTTTCAGCTCAACAGCTCTCCTCAAGAGTGCTTTTACAAAAGTCATATTTATAATTATTCAACAATCACTTAGTACTTAGACATTAATTCAGGTCAAAGACCAGCTCTAAAGAATCAGAAACTGTTTGCTATAATGTGTGCGAAAGTCTTGTTACACATAAATGAGCTAGGTGTACATCATAGTAGACACATGTACATGTTGAAAAATTATTTTTTTCCTCTCTCTCTCTCACTTTCCAAAAAAAAAAAAAGGAATCTTCAAAATAGTTGTGAAACCAAGTACACAAACAATACACATAAAAAAAAGAGACCTCCACCAATCTAACTGCTCTGATTCAACTCACTATTTCTGCTGCACCAATGATGTCCCTGCGGTGGAATATTGCAGGTGGAAGGGAAAAAGTCTGTATGGGGGTTGGTGTAGTAAAACTTTGTTCACTGAGTCCTCTCTGAACTTCTTTGGTAACACCAAGGACTTCCCAAGCACTCATATCTACCATGGGCTCTAAAGTTTAGTTCAATCAAAATAAATGATTTAGCTATAAAATATGATTGCATCTTAAACTCATAGTGTTAGTGAGAAATATCGTTTTATTACAGTTGAACCAAATGGGTAATTTTTACCTGTATAGATATGAAATATGTTTGTAAAGGTTTTATAATCTAAATTAATAAATACTTTATTAATAAATAACAATACAGTAATAAAAAACTTACCAGTAAAATTACATTATTTATTACACCCATTTTGAAATCACTGGTGGTCCCTGTAATGAGATTGGCTCTAGTTGATGCGATTTACTCACAAATTGCACCATTTTTTGCCTTAAATTGCATCTTCTTTCCAGTTAATGAGGAGGCTACACTAAAGACAAAACAACCAATCAGATTTCAAGGCTTGTTTAAAGTAACCAGTCAAATTGCAGGAAAATGAAAGACAAAGAGTATCACTTGGCAAATTTTGCAACTTTTGTTTCCAAAACTCTTACTTTTTCCGCCCAAAAAAATGGATGAATTTCATTTCAGACCAGCTCAGTACTGCATCAATAAAATATTTGAACTTACCAAGTCCTGTGATTTCAAAATGGATGTAATAAAGTGGTAATTGAACCTCGTGTCATGCAATTTTGGTCTGAAATCATACTTGTGATTTCAAAACGAACTCACGCTGTGCACTCGTTTGAGTTTGAAATCATGCATATGATTTCAGCACAAATTGCACTCCACTTAGTTCAATTACCATTATCTATAGAAAATCATATCTTTTCCAAGATAACATTTTCTACACAAAATGTATTTGATTCTCTTCTTAATAATAAAATCCAAGGACAATCATTGGAGTAAAATTGTACTTTGTTTTGTGCATTTCCCATCCATAATTCCTAAAATTAAATCTTACCTGGAAGATCTTCCACCAGTCTATTGTCAGTGACCATTTCTACTCTGTTTTGCTCTTCTGACTGGGCTTTACTTTGGGCCTTGTTTTTCTTTTTCCTCTTCTTTTTTCCCTTTGTCTGTTGGTCATTCTTTGTGCTTTTTTCAAGTTGTGTGGATGGTGTGGTAACTGTTTGTTCCAGATTATCCTGAAGATTTAAATCAAAAGACAATACTATGTAGCTTTTTTTTTTTTTTTCCCGTGAGCCAAACTTCTAGAGAAAACCAAAAAGAAGCTTCTATTCTTAGATATACATAATTGTGCATGTATGGGTAAAGACTGACAAAATGCATGAGCCCTTGGGACAATGCAGTCTGCTGTCTTCAAAAAAATTAGGACAAACTGCTCTCAAAATGATTTCAATCAATTCCTGTATTTCCATGTAGTTCTTGTGGTGACTTGTGTTGTTGTTGTTGTTGTTTTTTTTTTTCTTTTTGTTTGTTTGTTTGTTTTCTCATTTAAGGTATGACTGGCAGTTATCTTAGTTTTGATTCTCATGTCCAATATATACACCCAATTTGACTCAGGAGACAAGTCATTCCATTTGGGTCAGGTTGAGGATTATTATTAAGCGTCTTGAAAATCGACTTATGGTAAGACATTTCCACCTTAAGATGCACGGTTTATTCAGATTTCCAGTATCACAAGATGACTTAACCACTTATTAACTTCTGGTGGGTCGATTTGTAAACAACTCAACCCAATTTGGATGTATTGGACAACCCTCAACATTAAATAATTAAAGATGAGTTATAACAAAAAATAAATAAACAAAAAAAATTTAAAAAGATAATTTTTCCCAATTTCTCGTAAAATACAAGGGTAATTTCACCACGTGCTTGAAGTGAATCTTACATTTGTATCTTCTAAATTTAACCATGCGGTATGTTTTAAAGGACTTTCAGCAATTCACCTCCTGCAGCGGCCGTTCTTTTATTTTCTTCTTTTGAGCTGGTCCACCTGCACTAATTCCTGCTAGCTCTTCTGGATGATAATCTTCCATGACTTCAAGGGACACAAATCCATCCATTTCGCCCTCAAAGAACGAAGGATCGTCCAATTCTACTGGTTCCCATTTTCGCTTCTTCCCTTTCGAATTCTTCTCTACCATTATGGAGCAATGAGCAAAGAGCTTTAGTTGACAAACTGAATGTAAACGCTCTTTTAAATAACAAACAACCGTTTTGGTTTATCCTTAGAGAATTAATAAAAACAATCTCACGTCGTCCGCCATTATGGATTACCCGCCAGAGAAGGACTGGATAAGAAATTGTACTGCGCGCATATTCAAACGGGAGTCATGCGCTGCTTTACTACAACATGGCTTTTCTCCCTTAGCCGAGTTAGTTGAAACCTTTGTAAAGCGCGAATGAAAAGACTAACATGGCGAACGAACACCGTACATTCAAAGGGGAGTGCATTTATATTGAGTGCTTAAACGAAAACTCGTTTCTTATCAAGAAAGGCTTTGTCCCAAACATGAAGGTAAGTGAACGCGCGCCAAACATCAGATCGGAAGCTCAACTCCAGCTGAGTAGCGTGCGTGTCAAAATACACGTCTAACGATGTCATACTTGAGAATGTTGATAATAAGCTATGGTCATCGAAGTAAATCCCCTTACACCTGCCATATCCGTCAAAGTAATTTCCTTCTTTGAAATAAGTTTTGTCAAAAGGAAAATTGTTTCTGGGACAACTAGATTTTGTTCTCCCCCTCCTCCCCACCTTTTCTGCCCACGTTATGATAAAATCCCCGCCCCCTCCCCCCCCTTCCCCCCTCCACGTCTCTCGTGTCAGAACTGTTTTCTTTTTTTTTTTTTTTTTTGTTTCAATCAGTCAATTAGCGAACTACAGTCAAACCTGTCTTAGGTGACACCGTATTAAGCACTCGCACTGTATTAGACGCCATATTCCCGTGGATGCGTGCTTAATACAGGGTTGACTGAACTGGACAAATAAATTTTTGGACAAATTTTTACATACTTTTTCAGATACAAGACTTGAGGTGTACATTGCAGCTATTCAACTCTGAATTTCAAACTATTTTTTTCTCTTTTTTTTCTTTAAAAATTGAAGGTATCTTAGATATATAAATGAGTTGCTTGAAAAGCAAGTGTTTGATGAGCTGAAGCACTGGGCTGGAACTCAAGGTACAGTATGCTAAACATTTGAAATATAATACTGTTGTATTTGCTGCATTTTTCTTATTCCTTTGATACAGTTAAATTAAATTGCTCTCCAGGTATTGGTGGTTTCCTTACTGGTGTAAAGCAGATTGCAAATGTTGCAGCTTTGCCTGGAATTGTTGGTGTAAAAATGATCATAACTTTTTCTTGTTGAAATTACAACTCAGTTTAACTCAAACTTGTTCAATCCCGGGCCCAGTAGTTCAAAGGCTGATAAGTGCTAACCCAGGGTTAAATTTTAATCAGGGTGTGTTTAATCCTTGGCTTAAAAGCCTTTTTAGAATAATTTACTATAATTTTTTTAGGGCATCCAATCATCAAATTGCAGACTAAAGGAATTGTACGTGTATACTGAAGTTCATTTGAAAGCTTTCAGATATGAAATCAGATTTCACACTGACCATTAGCTATCTTAACTCAGCTTTTAACAAACCGGGCACCCTGTACTCTTGGGAAGCAAAGAAAGTATAAAGTGGAGATGACAGAAGAGTTTCTTGTTATACAGTTTGTGTTTCCAGAGTATTTTTACACAAAGATTTCACTTAAAGTGGTGCCAAATAGAGCATCCAGTTATCCAGTTAGATCCAGGTATCCCATTATTTTAGAATGTGGGTGTATTGAACTTTCTCTGTGGTAAAAGTTTTATTTCCTACTTAATAAATTTAGGAAATTCTGAAATAGTATGCATAGAATACTAATATCCTAATATCCTTCTCAGGGAAAATGCACATATTTTTTCCAAGCTAATGAAGTCTTGAAAAAAGTACTTTCAGAGACAATATCATCCATCTCTAGATGAATTTGTCATCTCTGAAAGAATTTGTCATCTCATCAATCAGACTTTATGAATAATAATAAACCCCCAGCCAGAGAAATTTTTGATCACTTCCCTTTTGTTGAAATAACAATAACAAAGAATTCGTATTTTTTTGCTTGGACTATGGCAAGCCAATTGTAGCAATATTTAATACTAAAATTCAATTTCAATTCAATGAGATTCAAGTTCAATTCAATGAAATTCAATTTCAATTCAATTTCAATTCAATGAAATTCAATTTCAATTCAATGAGATTCAAGTTCAATTCAATGAAATTCAAGTTCAATTCAATTTCAATTCAATTTCAATTCAATTTCAATTCAATTTCAATTCAATTTCAATTCAATTTCAATTCAATTTCAATTCAATGAAAATTCAAGTTCAATTCAGTGAAATTCAAGTTCAATTCAATGAAATTCAAGTTCAATTCAGTGAAAATTCAATTTCAATTCAATTTCAATTCAATGAATTTCAAGTTCAATTCAATGAAAATTCAAGTTCATTTCAATGAAAATTCAATTTCAATTCAATGAAAAAAACAAACAATCAAAATTGCTTCCGGTTAGTAACCGGAAATGATAACTAGCATACGGGAACTTTAAGGCTTTATGTTTTCGCGCGGTAAATTTAACTAGCATAATGGCGGACGAAGAGCCAGAATTTGACGTGGAAAAAGACTTACCTGAATTTTTATCGTCAGAGCTCGATAGAACAAAGCAGTGTATACATAATAGTGAAACGGATATCAGTGACGTGGAAGCACAATCTGTAGTTCTCGATCGAACCGTTAGTCTTTTGAGTTCTATTGCCTTAACTGACATTGAGCAAGATCGGATCGAGTGGGAATCTCTAGCTACTGCGTTTGCAGAAGTACTACGGGCTATTGAAAATCATCTCAAAACTCTAGCAGTAAAACCTTCATCAATTTCTCGACATAAATGTAAAATTCTCAGAACGGGAAATCCTGGGAGACCACAGTTCCTTATATCTCCTGACACGTTAGAAGATCTTCTCGGACTTGGATTTTCATTGGAAAAAATTTCTTTGTTGTTTGGTGTGTCTCGTTGGACAATTTATCGTCGAGTACAATCATATGGCTTGCAAAGCACGCCGAATTTTAGTTTGTTGCCGGATACAGAATTGGATGAATTACTTTTAGAGTATATTGCTCGTCATGGATTAACAACCGGGCGAACATATTTAGCCGGGTACCTTAAGTCACTTGGACTGAGGATTCAAAGAAGAAGAATTCGCGAGTGTTTAGCAAGGGTGGATCCAGCGAATACTGCCTTGAGGTGGGGAATGGTTATTTCTCGTAGGCAATACTCCGTGCCATGGCCAAATTCTCTGTGGCATTTAGATGGTCATCATTCTCTCATTCGCTGGGGTTTTGTAATCCACGGATGCATGGATGGTTTCTCTAGAAGAGTTGTGTTTCTTAGATGTAGTAATAATAATCTTTCACAAACTGTTCTGGAACTCTTTCTGAAAGCAATTGAAAAAGATGGGTTGTGGCCATCACGTATTCGTGTGGATTATGGTGTGGAAAATGTATTAGTTTGTGATGCTATGGTGGAAGCAAGAGGTGAAGGTAGAGGGAGTTTCATTGCCGGTCCCTCCACGAGAAATCAGAGAATTGAAAGACTCTGGAGGGACGTCTTCAGGTGTGTGTCATCTTTTCTACTACGTGTTTTACGCAATGGAGGATACAGGCCTGCTTAACGTTGACAATGCAACGGATATGTTTGCGCTACATTTGACATTCCTCCCAAGAATAAACCTTGCGCTTCACGAATATATGGAGGCCTTCAACCATCACAAGGTAAGGACAGCAAACCATTGGTCCCCATATGGCATGCTAAATGAAGACAACCCCTTGGTACATGGGCAATTAGATGAGGATCCTAATGACCTGGAGTTCTATGGTGTTGACCCAGATGGGCCATCTCCATTTGAAGATAGCAACAACAATGTTGTTGTTCCTCCAGTGACATTACCAGTTGAACATCAGTCAGTTCAAGCCAAAGTTCTTGAGCAGATCGATCCATTCATGTCATCGATGCAAATGGGCATAGATATCTACACTAACATTCACCAAGTATAGTAAAGGAGAGCGTTGAAAACTGTTAATAACACTATACCTTTTTGGTAAATCATGTGGCCATCTTCAGTTGCTGCGTGGGATGTGCAGACAGTAAAGTTAACAATTGAGTGTCAATATTAATCAAATGCAAAATGAACATGCAACAGGATTTGATATGGTTACCTAATTGTCAAAGAAATTCAGTATTCAACACCAGTATAAAAGATGACTTCAACTTCAACTTTATTCAGGTACCTTAAAACAGAAACTCTTTTACTTATTTAAGCAGCTGTCTATTTTTGATAGCACAGGTATGATCCTCACATTTCAACAGATACAATGCTACAATCAAGCAGTGAAAGTTCTTGTGTCTAGCAACAAATTAAAAAAGTATTTTTGTTGAAGATTTTCTTCAATTTTTAAGTCTTTGCTAAAAGACACAGACAGCTAATTCACAAATAAAACACAACTTATGTCCTCCCCCATTTTCTAGAAACCATTGCACAACTTAGTAATCAATTTTTTTACTGAGTACTTCATTCTTTCCCATGAATTGTTATGAGTGCAATGACTGAATGAGCATTGGCAATGTCTGGGTCCTTCTTGTGTTGTTCCCAATCTCCAGTGAGTATTCTGATGGAAAGTTTCTGAAGCTGGGTGTCTTTGAGAGTTTCTTCCTTGATGTGATCTACAACAACAGCATGTTCGGCTGTCACCGTGTACTTGATCACTCTCTCTATGGTATCCTTTCCAGTTTCTGGCAAAGGGTGTCTCGACAGGAAGTCAAGTGGATCGGCTTCATCCTTTCCAGGTTCATAGATTAGCTCAAAGTCGACATCTTGCATTCCCATTACCCATTTTTCTATTCTTGGTGGAAGTCGCATGGCTGCCTTGTTAAACAATGGAAGTAATGGTTTGTGAGCTGTGATGATCTTGAATTTTGGCGCTCCCAGAAGGTAAATGCTGAATCTGTTCTTTGCCCAATGTATGGAGAGGGCATCTTTCTCTGTCTGACTGTATCTTTTCTCGGTGTCAGTCATGCTGCGGCTAATGAAGTGGACTGGCTGTAGGCCATTGCCTGTGTCCTGGAATAATCCGGCTGATAGTCCTTCATGGTAGCTGGCTTCAACTCTCACAACAATAGCTTTGGCTGGGTTGAAGTACGCCATTGTGCTTTCACTTGTTATGCTTGCTTTGAGCTTCTCAAATGCTTCATTCTCTTCTGCTCCCCATTTGAACTTCGTTTCTTTGTGGGTCAGCTGTCTCAAAGGTGCGGTTAGTGATGCGTATTTGGGGATGAACTTTGATAAATACCCAGTCATGCCAAGAAAGCTTCGCACAGCTTCTTTCGATTCTGGTGGGCTGCTTTCCTTCACGGCTCTGACCTTCTCTGGGTTTGGTTTTAATCCGTTCTTCGTGAACTTGTGCCCATAGAACTCTATCTCTTCCACTCCGAATTGGCACTTCTCAGTGTTGAAAGTGACACCAAAATCTGTTGCTCTCTGCAGAACGGCTTCCAATGTTTTGTTGTGTTCTTCTGTCTTTCCCTCCTATCAGGATATCATCGCGCTGGTTGAGGCACCTTGGTATGTCTCCGAAAATTCGGTAGATAGCTTCATCAAAGAGATCTTGCGATGCTTTTGCTCCAAAGATTAGACGTTTTGGTCGCATGTTCCCCCATGGTGTGCTGAAGGTAGCGACTTTTCTGGATTCTGGATCGAGAAGCAGTTGGTGGTACCCCTGCTTCATGTCAAATTTGGAGAAGATGGTACAGTCGTGGAACTTGTACATAAGGTCCTCAACAACCGTTCCTTGGGTTATCCTGTGTCTCTCCATGAATTGGTTGGGTATCCTGAGGTCCACGCTGGCCCTAATCATGTGTGGTTCCAGGTCTTCCTTATCTACGCTGCTGAACTTTGGCTTTGGCTGAACTACTAATGGAGAGCACCATGTTACTGGTTCACCTTCAGGCACCTCTTCAAATATCTCCTCTTCCAAACACTGTTCAAGCCATTTCTTTAAGGGATCTTGCAAATAATATGCGACTGGTCTTGGTTTCTGGGCTACAGGAGCAGCTTCTGGTCTCATGCTGAATTTAGCATAGAACTCTTTTCCATTCTTGATGTCTCGTATCTTCCCAATGCCCTTGAATACATCGCTGTATCGATCAGTGATTGCTTTGATTTCGGGATTGAGTATTACAGCTTGCTTGACACTCTTGATGTCTGGCAACTCTTCCTGGATTCTCAGGTCATTGGTCTCGGCGAAAGAGCCATCTTCGCGGATCTGTAGCATACCTAGCTCTTTGAGGGTGTCTTTGCTGATAAGCGGTGGGGAATTGATTCTACCCCTGACCACAACAAATCTTGCGACTGCTCCGCAGGTCTGGTTCCTTACGGTCGCTGTGAATTCTCCTTTCACGGGAAGCTCACTTTGAAAGGTACTCAGCTTCACTCTGCTTGGATGTAGTGTTGGCTTAACGCTTGATCGATTTGCCAATGCCTTGAATTGGTGTTCGTCCATAACATTCACCTCTGCACCACTGTCCGGCTCAACTCTAACATCAACATCTTCTATCTTCACTGACACAGTTCTGCTCTCGTTATCTGTTTTGATTTTCTTCACCTGCTTAAGATGACGTACAGCTTGGCAGAAAAATTCGTCATCAGAACTTGTTGAGTTATCAGCATCTTCTTCTGTGGTTCGCTTGACACGGTGCTTGTCCCTCGAGGTTTCTGGTGGTTTTCGACTGTGTTTGTGCCCATGGCTTTTCTTGCTGTTGGGAGGTCCTCTGAACTTGCATACTGAGCTGAAGTGGTTAAACTTCTGGCATTTCATACATTTCTTCCCATATGCTGGACAGTTTTTGCCTTCCTCGTGTGTGCCTGTTTGTCCACAGTATCCACATGGTTGCTTTTTCTTGTCTTTTCCATCGTTCTTGGGCGGATGCCACTTTCCAGACTGTCTTCCGACCTTCTTCACATCTTGGGGAATTTTCATGTCGCTTATTTGAAGTGTTGTGTCTTCGGTTTGTTTAGCTTCGGTGAGGAACTGTGTTAAATCCCATTTCTTGTTAATAGCCTTCTGGATTAGCGAACGATTCTGTGTTGTCTGGATGAGGTGTTCTAGGATTCGTTCATCGCAGTTTGCTTCAAATTCGCAGTCGTTGGCTTTCTCTCTTAAACGTGCAGCGTACGCGTTCGTTGTTTCGCCATGTGCTGGTCTCATTTTGAGGAATACATATCTTGCGTGGTGTTTATTCTTCTTGGGTTTGAAGTAGTCGTTCAGCTTTTTCCTCAGCTTCTCATAGTCGTTACCGCCATCCGTTGGGTTCGGTAAGCTTTTCTCCAGACAAGCGATTTCCTCCCCGCCATAAATGATGAGTGCATCTTTCTTGTCGAGGGGTTCCGTAATCTTGAAATATCTGAATTCGCGCTCGATTTCTTCGAGCCAGTCGTCCCACGCTTTACCTGTGCCGATTGGGTCATCTCCCGGGTTGAATGGTTGAGATTTGAGATTTCTCGTCGCTGTGATAACTTGTACTGGTGCTGTTGGCGCGGTGCCGCCGGTTGCTTCTTCGGTGTCGGGCATGTTTGTCGATCGATTGATTCAAGCGTTGACGTGTTTGTCTTGTTAGCCTCTCTCGCTGGGCTTCAAAACTCTCTGGCTCGGTTTCTCTAGCTTTCGTCTTTCTTCTTTGTGCTTAATCTAGTGTGGTATCCTCGTCGCCAGTGTAACAACCGCTAGTCTTCTCAGTATAAACAATGCTATAATGGAACAAACTTCTCCGACTCGAGCTGACAACGTGGTAATGCAAAGTGTTGCTAATGCGCATGTGCGAACTGAACTATGTTGCAAATCTCGGAATACTGGACTGGATATTACAATTGGCTCAAGCGAGAACACAATCCTGTACTTCGACTTCTTTTCAACATGGATCGAGCTCGCTCGACGGCACTAGCAACATTGTTAGTTGAACTTAAGTTATTTTCAGACACGACTTGAGTGACTGAGTCCGGAACTTTCGTATTTGAGCTTGAACTAGAGCTTGCTAACACTTGTGACACGAGTCTTGAGCACTCGCCCAACGAATCGGCAAGGTTTCGAAGATGTTCCTCCATTTTGTTGGTTAAAAAATGGCGGGAAAAGCGTTTGGAAGCGGATTCCCGTATGTTTGATCCAAGATGCTTTGCGCATAGTCTACACTGAATTGAAATTGAATTGAAATTGAATTGAAATTGAATTGAACTTGAATTTCACTGAAATGAACTTGAATTTTCATTGAATTTTCATTGAATTTTCATTGAATTTTCATTGAATTTTCATTGAATTTTCATTGAATTGAAATTGAATTTTCATTGAATTTTCATTGAATTGAAATTGAATTGAAATTGAATTGAACTTGAATTTCATTGAATTGAACTTGAATCTCATTGAATTGAAATTGAATTTCATTGAATTGAAATTGAATTGAAATTGAATTGAAATTGAATTGAAATTGAATTGAAATTGAATTGAAATTGAATTGAAATTGAATTTCATTGAATTGAAATTGAATTTCATTGAATTGAACTTGAATTTCATTGAATTGAACTTGAATCTCATTGAATTGAAATTGAATTTCATTGAATTAAAATTGAATTTTAGTATTGAATATTGCTACAATTGGCTTGCCATATTGGACCTCAGAGATCAGTTGGACTACCAGATGTTCATTCTGGCTGTGGATTTGCTATTGCTATTGGTAAGTTGCAATTCACACATTTGTGATAAATAAGGCAACATTTTATTCTGAATATGTTTGTGGATTGTAGTTGTGTGAAGTGGGGTGTCGTGTGAAAAAAATTTTTCTCAATAAGTTATTTGTCAACAATGTAGTTTCCTCATCATAACTCAAAGTAAGTGCCCTTTGATGAAGCTTATAGTTTCTTTTCAAACTGGTAATGTGCTTAAAATGACTTTGGTTGGTCATGGTGATGAATTCACTTTCTGAATGCAGTATAATCATTTGTCTCGCCATT